CCAAAAACAACAAAAAAAACACCCACTCACACAGGTTACAGCTCACCGGCCATGTGATGCAGGCTGCACAACGGGCCTTGGTAGAATTAGTCATACTTCAGAGAGAAGCCCGACGAACGGCGATTGACAAGAAAAAAGAAAGAGGGGAGAAAAAATGAAGCTGACTAGAGTGAAGAGTTGGGAGAATTCTCGACCTCCAAAACAGAAGAACAACAAACAAACAACCCCAAGAGCGCCGCTCCGTCGTCGTTGGCGCCAAATGGCCAATTACATCAAAGTGGTGGTGTGGATGCAGTGGAAATGCAATGGAGTGGGCGCAGTAAGAAAGGGAGGGGCGTGTGTGTGTGTGTGTGTGAGAGAGAGAGAGAGAGAGAGAGAGATCAGATGTGCGAGGCGCGCACAGTGTGCATAACCAGGGGGCGATTCGCTTGTGCTCGTGCACATGGCCCACGGCTGTTCAGCTCACATCAGTTCAGTTAGGTCAGCTCAGCTTTTGCTGTTGGCGCGCCTCCTTGGTTAGTCAGCTCTGCCTCACGGGACTGGGAGGGACTGCATCCCGACGGGGCGGGACAGGGCGGGCGGAGTGGTTGCATCGGGAAATGGGGGCGTTTTTTTCGGCTTTATATTGTGATTCGAGGGGCTGAGAAAAACGGTCGCTTCCGGCTGATGTTCCCGATACGGAAAACATGACCAGATAAAAAGAACCGGCCCGACTTAAACGAGCCATTGGTATTGCTATGTAGTGGGTGTAACATTCACGTCCATGTCATACCAGTTCGCCACAAATGTTAGCCGCGCCTTGGGTCTTCAAGCCATATCCAGCAGCACTCCATCTTAGGAAGATATCAAGCCCGAAGAAGATGTGAAATCAACTACTTCCAATCAACGAAGGAGCCCCTGCAAAGACAGTGACAGATACAAGCAACCCAAGGCCAACATCAGACGGCCGTCCGGGAGTCTGACTGGAGAGTAAAAACACAAGCACTCGCCTGTCTATCTTTACTATCTACACTTGCTTGTCTTGGCTCGGTTACATTTCACGGCCAGTGGGATAGCAAAGAGAGCGCAAGCTTAAAAGGATATGGTACACGCGGGGTGTTTGGCTTTCCGCTAAGAGCAAGGTATGTCGACATTGGATATCACAGGAGGAGGATAACCGAAAATTGGAGCAGCGGCTTGCGGGGGCCTTGAGCGTTTGGGAATATTAGCACCGAATTCGAGCGAGAAAATGGTCCCGTGCCTGCAGCTATGTATCATCGCCGAAAAGGGTTCGAGCCACAAACGATCCGTGGCCTCCCCCTATACTCCGGGTTGAGGAGGTGGCACTTCGACTTTCAAGTCGCCGACCCCCGAGCCACGTTTCGGGGTTCAGTCCCGCTCCAGGCCAGCCTCATAAAGGGAGGGGAGGAGGAGGGGATGACGCGGCCGTTTTTATAAGGTTGCCAATACCAGATAATATATCACTACTTATACAATGCACTTCAGCATGTGGGATCGGAACATTTCCCGCCCGGGCTCCCGGAACGAAGAGATTCTGCAAGGCAGGCACAGAAGATTTAATGCCCGCATTTTCGAAGGGACCGTAGGAAACAGGGTAAGTGGAAAAACTACACCGGCAAAAAGAAAACGAGGAAAAGAAAACGAGGAAAGGAAAGCGAGAGGACGAAAACGAGAGGAAGGAAACGAAAGGAAGAAAAAATACGTCCGGATCTCGAGAGGCGACAAAACGGCATGGCCGATATGGGAAGCCCCGTCAGCCGCAGCCGTCAGCCTCACCGACCCGGGGTTGGGTGGATTTATGGACGGTTTTGGCGCGAGGTAGATTCCAAAATTTACGAGGGGAGCCTCCTCAACCTTTTCCTGTTTTGCTATCTCCGCCGAGATACTTTCGGCGACGGTTTGCTTTTTTATCCATGACAAGATAACGAAAAGGGGCTTGTGTTACTATTTCTGCTTGCGGTTGGCATGGCCTGCAAAGGCCGACTACATGGCCATCTCGCTGGTCGGACCCGCACGAGACTTGAGAGTGCTGCTACGATCGTGTCATGGGCCAAACAGGTGGATTGGTCGTTAATACGAGACTTGTCCTTGGCCAGCTTGCACGAGGTGAGGCCAAGCGCCATCTTCCACCCTTGGAGTGAAAGCATGACCATGTCAGGGTCGTCCGCGACAACCACCCTCCAAGGGGAGGTGCAGACCTCGACAATAGGCTTAAAGCTTTTTATACAAAGCCCGTCAAGGCTAGTTGCACACGTTATTGTTTGGCGGCAGGTGCTATGGCGGCAACCTACGTGGTAATGTGGGACATCGTGCCCTTCGTTGGCTTCCAAGTACGGACGCCACACCAAGGGCATCCCAAGTTACTCTACACGAATATGTCGACGCCGACGGCGCGCTTGGGCGACGCGCCAGATCCGGCCTTGGCCTGCGCGGGGTGAGTGAGGCCTGCGCGCCGCCCTTGGGGAGCAGGATCCGGCTGGTCTGCCTGTAAGTGCCGGGCGGGTTGGATGGGCCCGCTTCAAATCATGCCTCCTGCCTATGGGAGACGCGTTGCATTGTTTTTCATGTCAAATAGCAGATGGATGGAGAAAACGCCCTGCCATGGCCTAGGCGAACTAGGTAACTAGTGCATCGCTGGCTCAAGAGGATCATGACAAACAGCCACGCCCACCACAAAAAAAAAATGATAATAAAAACAAGAATAATAATAGGAACAACAATGTGAAGTAAGATAAGAATAGAAAAGCTTACGGCACTAAAAAATCGATTCAAGTCTTCGGGACAGGCTGTAGGACTACTGTCTTTTTTTTTGTGGTGGGCGTGCCAGGCAGAGGGCGAGGCTGACGGATGGGTACATGTAGGTGGCACAACGCAACGCTACACGAACCCGCACAGTATTCGGGAGTTTGTTACCAGGGCTGGCGGAATCGGCGTGGCGCGAAAGGTGGATGGAATAAGCCGCATGCATGGAAACACCAGACCCCTTTTATCGAACACACCATGTCAACATCGGGAAAGCCAAGGGGAGGTGCTCGCGTGACCGACCAGTCGACGAAAGGGAAAGAAGAGAAAAAGATAAGCAATCCATTTCATTCTTTTCTTGTCTGACATCAACAACTAAAAAGGCCTAGAAACTCAGATCTATCGCCATCCAAACCGACTAACTCCCTTCCGCCCACCGAGCCAGCCCAAAATCCCGGTTGACTGCGCGACCAAACGGCCGCCATATGTCCGCGTGATATGCATGTCATCACTCCCCGTGATCGTTTTGACCTCGGCCTCGGTTCCCTCTGCTTCCGTCTTCCGTGACCAAAGCCAGCTCGTCGGTCTGGAACGACTAGCTAGGAAAATTGATGTAGGTCAGTGGACAAAAAACCCAAAACAGAAAAGTACCCTTGGCGATATATCCCAAACCGAGAGAAAACCTGCAAAGTGGTCGGCTATAACCATCCGGAAACTATGAGCATCAGAATAGAAATAATAGTAGCAAAGCTCATGGTCATTAGATTTGATCATCCCATCGTCTCTCAAAAGACCGGGGAAACCCTCCTGCAGAAATAGGCATATGTACAGTGCAGGCGGGCTGACTCCTTCATCCCCTGATGATCCTCTTTGTGAATACTATACAACATAGATCGTATGTGATATTCCACGAGTAGCCAACATTTACACGGGATGCGGCTTCGGGAGGTAATAAATAATATGCGGGTATGCACTTGTACGTGTGGGTCTATGGCTTGACCCATGACTGACGTAGGCGAATCTTCCTTGGAGGTGGTACGCAAAGCCTGTCAACTTGTTGACGCAGCGGCTTCTTTGGCGACAGGGGCGTCGCCCTCAGCTGGTGATTATGGGGTATGGCAGTGGAGCCTCTCGCGCCCCGAGACTATCGCGGGCTGAGAGGGCTCCTGCCTGGTCCCGCTGCGCGCCTCAGTGTCCGCAGCTCGTCCTCCAGCTTTCTGCGCTGGGCTTGTTCGTTCTGTTACGGAAAGCAATGTTAGCATCTAACAAGAAACCTGATTTGGAAATCGACGCCTCTTCGAACTTACTCTTATCTCCTCCTGGAACTTCTTCCTCTCCTCCTTCATGGTCGCCCTGAACTGCTCGCTGAGCATCGACGCGCCGGCGCCGACCCTGGCCCCCGCCGCGGGCGCCGCCTTGAGCTTCTCGGCGTCGAGCTGCTCTTGCAGCCTGCCCACCTCCGAGTCGAGCTTGTCGCGGAGCCTGGCTGCCTCAGCCTCGAGCGCGTCCTTGGCCGCGAGGGCGTCGTCGAGCTTGCCCTCCATGTCCATCCGCTCGCGCTCGGCATTGATGGTGTCCTTGGTGAGCGTTTCGAACTCGGACAGCGTACCGGCCAGCTCCTCCTTGAGCTTGTCGACCTGCGTCCGCAGCTCTGCCGACTCGCCCTTGTTGCTGAGTTTGGCTACCTCCTTGGCCCGCTCCGAGCGGGATCCATACGCCCCCTCGAGCTCTGCCTTGGCGATGGTCGCCTCCATCTTAAGCTCGACGATCTGCATGTTGCTCTGCTCCAGCTCCTCCTCCTTGGCCTTGGCCTCCTTCTCAAGCTCGGCCGCACGCGTCTCGGCCGCCGTCTTGGCTTCTTCGGCGGCCGCCTTGGACGCCTCTGCGTCGGCGAGCTGAGCCGCCACGGTCCCCACCTCGACCTCGGCCTGCGCGAGCCGGTCCTCAAGCTCCCGGCTCTTGGCCTGCATCGACTTAATCTGCAGGTCGCGCTGCTGGAGCTGCTCTTCCACGGCTGTCGCTTTTCCACCCTGCTCCTGCAACTGCGTGATTTGTGCAGCAGCCGCGGCCGCCGCGGTCCCAGCAGCGACCGCGGCCGATTCCGCCTGCGCCTCGATGTCTCTGGCGCGGGCCTCGGCGGCATCTGCTTGCGCTTCCGCCTCCTTGAGTCGTGCCTGGGTGTCCGCCACCTCGGCCTCGCGTGCCCTGAGCTCGTCTTGCATCTTGGCCATTTTGGCATCGCGGTCTTTGACCTTTTCTTCCGCCTCCCTGGCTGACGCGCCCACGTTGGCCATGGCCGTCACCTCGTTCTTCTTGAGGTCGTCGAGATCCGCCAGTGCCCTGGCGAGCTTCTCCTGGGCCTCCTGAGCCTGCCTCTCACTGCCGACCAGCTGTGCGCGTGCTTGCTGCAGTTCTGCGGTCCTGCCCTCCAATTCTGCGTCCTTTTGTGCGTCCGACTTGTTGTTGAGCTCGCGCTGCTGCTTGATCTGTCGCTTGAGAACCGACTTTTGCTCGCGGAGGTTGGTCGCCTGCGCATACAGCCACTGGACCTTAGCCGAGAATGCCTGCAGCGAGTACTGCTCCGATGGGTCGAATGGTACATCATCCTCGTCTTCGTCATCTGCCTCCACACCGGCCTCTCTGCGGGCCTGCCTCCGCTCCTCGTTGCGTCGCTGTAGGTCGGCGTATCCGTTCTGGATCATATCCCACATGTTCCGGAGGGCCGACTCAATCTGCTCAACCTGCTGTTTGTCCGCCGACGAGGCCGACGAAGCGCTCACGGCTTGCGAGAGCGCGTACTGAACCACCCCGATCGAGCCCTGTAGCCATGCGATCTGCCCTTCAAGGTCCATGCCGGTGGTCTGCGGGGGAGGCTGCTGGTTCGGATTTGCCATTTGCAGGACTGAACCGAGCTGTTGATTCACCGTCGCCAGCCTCTCTTCGGACTGGGTCACCACGGCCTGGGCGCGTGAAGCCGCCATCTCCGCGTCCTTCGAGCCGTCCGAGGCCTGTGTCGCCTGTGCATACTGCTCCTGCTGAACCGTCGCCAGGCCTGCTGTCAGATATTCGACGTGGCTGCCGATCATTTCGCCCGGTTCCAGCTGGCCTGATGGTGGTTGCTGGTACCCGCCGTTGCGGGTCGGGTCAAACGAGACAATGACCTCTCTTAGCTGCATGTTGAGAGCCTCTAGCCTGCGCTCCGTGTCCGTAACCGCTCTCAACTTCTCTCCGCTCTCTCGCCGCAGTGAGTCCATTTCTAGCTGGACAGAATCGGCCATGGCCTGGGCCCTATCACGCTCCTGCCGCAGCTGTTCAGTCTCGTTGCGCAGGCGCTCGGCCTCCTCACGCAGCTGATTAGTTTGCTCTCGAATTGGAGACTTGATAGGGATCTCTATGGCATTGGCACCTGCCGCTGCAGCACTGGTGTTGATGGCCTGGGCGGAGTTAAGGCTTCGGGTTGTTGGCCGGCCCGACTTCTCGTCTAGCTGCTCAAGAGTGAGATAGAGGCTGCGGTCGTCAAAGAATGCGTCCTCCTCGAAGGGCAGTGCGTCCGAGACGCTGTAGCGGAGATTATTGTATGTGTACAGGCTCTCGGGGCTGCCTGGGATGCCATTTTGCATCACGCTGTTGTTGCGACCCAGGTCTGGGGTCTTGGCGGAGCGATGGGTAAGTTGTAAGATGCCGGCCGTGTGCTCGAATAGACGTCGGCGCGGCTCCATAAGACGGCGCTCAAGCTGGAAGAGTTCGCAAGCCAGATCCTCACAGCGGCGCTCGCAGGCCTGTCGCTCCGTCTCGGCTTCGCGGGCGGAGCTCTCGAGGCTGTTCCTGCCATTGCCGCGCAGGTTCTTCTTCTTGGTCGAGTAGAGCTTCGTCATGTTGGTGGCAGCGTCCAGGTACTTGGACTGAACGGCTAGGTTGGAGCGGGCCTGCTCGATTCGCTGCGTCAGGGAGGCTACCTGCTTCTTTAGCCCGTCCACCTCCTCCTGCGACAGAATCTCATACTCCTTGCAGTCGGAGAGAGCCGTCTCGGTTAGGAGATGTACTTGGATGGGGTCGTTGAGGTCGACAAGCGCTGAGCTCTGCGTCCGTTCCGAGTTCAACTGTGATACCAACGTGGCATTGTTAGTCGCCTGGTCCGTTGTGCAACCCGTATCGCCCAGCCCAGGACCAAGTCCCGGCCACGCAAAAGCCTATGACATACCGGATTAAAGCGAGGCTGCTGCGATCCGAAGCCCGTCATTGACAGGTCTGTCCTGTACTCGTTCATCAGTGCCTTGCCGCTCGGAAGTATGCCCTCGGACGCCAGGGGCATGCGCGCGGGGGCATCGTAGCCGTAACTCGGCTGCCCCATAGGCCCGGAGCCATTCATGCTGCGATTCGATTTATCCTAATCAGAGATATCGCTGCCTGCCCTGGAACATTATCCAAAAAAGAAGAGTGGTGTCCAAAATCCAAGAAAAGGCAGAGCAAAAGCCGTATAATTTGCGGTTATCGGCTATGGCGCCTCATCGTGAGTATCGGTATAGGTTCGCTGTTGTGGGTGGAGGGCCAGCCAAAAGTGTTGCGCCCCGGTGGGCTGTTGTCGTCGACGCCTGGGCCCGGCAAGTGTGGTCGAGGGGCGGCGCTTGGGGGAAAGCGCAGCGCAGTTCGTGGGAGCCGCTTTGTCGCGGCCGCTTGCGTCGGGTCGGGCGGAAATCGCAGGACGTTCGTGGCGCCTCACTGTGCTGCTGTCATGCGCGGTGGGGCCAAGGGGGCTGATCAAAGCCAGCGGACTGGGTCTAAGATTCAGGTGCGATAGAAATTGGGCGGAAGGCGATAAGGTCTAGCTGGGCAGAAGCTAGAGTTAGCGGTTCTTGAGATATGCTAGAATTAAGAATGGTGTCGTCCGGATTGGTGAGGCGGCCGCAACAATTTGCTGACTCTTGCACGTTCTCGGTAGAGTTTGCAGTCACGACTCACCAACACCTGAAGGAGCAAGCATCATCCGGGCTGTCAGCCCCTGACAAGGGGGGGGGGCTGGCTCTGCTGTGGTTGGCCAGCCTCTTCCTCGCGATTGCTTGTGGCTGGCTGGGTGCCAATGCGCCCCGACTGCGCGGACAGATGCCTGCCCTCCCGCATCCGCTACCACGTCCAAGACCCAAGACCCCTGTGGCTTGTAGGCCAACACCCACCATCTGGGTACCATCCCGGTCGATGGGATCGCGCGTCGTAAAGTAGAGAGGAGCGCGCAACGAATCTCCAGTCGCCCGCCCGCATCCTTCAAATCGACGCCTTAAGAATGGTCGCGTCAGTGCCGGGGTGATCGCCGCGTGGTCTTACCCGCGGACTCGTCCGATCCTCGGCTTACTGTACCGGGCTGTTCTGGCCGAGGATCTGAGGGATGCTCCGGCCACATGATCCGAGGCGAAGGACGCAAGCATTTGCTATTTCCTAGGCACTTCCTAGACGTGGGGTTTCCACAAATAGCGTCTCTTTTAACTTTGACACTTGATGGAGCTGCTCGCACCACCTCGATAGACAACCAGTGAACCACGGACTGAACGGACCGGCAGACTCGTTGACACCGTGCTATTGAAAGTACCATGTCTGCAAATCATATACCGAAAAAAATACCCGAGCATCCACTCACAGTGCGGCTCATAGAGAGCCCCTGAGCTGCTCTATTATCTGCTGGCCCACGGTCCTCCTTCGCCCGGCCTCGGCCTCCTGGAGCCCCACGCCCGAGGCCGTTGCGGTGGAGACGCCCTCATCTTCCAACCTCCTCCTCAGCCCGTCGAACTCGGTCTGTCTCCTCGGCGGCGCCCGCGCCCCCACGAGCCAGCCGGGGACCCGCCAGCGCGTCAGCCGCCCCGGAATCAGGTCGTTACGCCACGAGTAGCCAACGATCCAGCCGACGACGGCGCCGAGCAGGGATCCTGGCCATTGCGACAGCGCCAGCTGCACCGCGAGGACGTACTTGTACGACTTGTTAGAGAAAGTGAGCCCCACAAAGTCGTCGGACCCGTCTGCCTCGGTCGCCGAAGGGGGGTCCGACACAGCCAGGCGGTACTTGTAGAGGTGCGGCACCGTGGCGTGGTACTGCGCCAGCACGGCGAAGATGAGCGGCGTCGGGCCGGCGGGGAGGTAGTTGAAACCCCCGAATGTCGCCGCTCGGAGCAGCACAGTGAGCATGGGCGTGATGACCGTTGTAAGCAGCCCCGTGATAAGGAGGAACGACTAAACAGGGAGTTCGTTAGCCAAGGCGCCATACAAAAGTGCACGAATAGATAGCCTAGGTAGGCACCCATGCTTACCGCGTATTTCCTCGAACCCCAGAAGCGCTCGATCACGCGCATGTTATATAGCGTCATGCATGCAAAGAGCACCTCGGAGGAGTTGGTGTAGCACAGCTGGAACAGGAATATCCGCCACGGCTGGTGGTATCTCAGGATGTGCGGGTCGATGAGCAGATAAAAGTAGTGCTTCACGTCGAAGATTGTCGCAGCGATAGAGCTCATCACCAGTCCCAGCACCAGGGAACGGGTAACGGGGGTGTTTGTGAAAGACATGGTCGATCCGGGCCTGACTTGGCCGGGCTGGGCTGGTGATTGCGGCTGGGAGAAGTAGACTGGATGCGCTGGCTTTGTCCGAGGCGGGATGGCTATTGTTGCAGCGCTGGCTTTGTCCGAGGCGGGATGGCTATTGTTGCATGGTTAAGCTCGCTATTCCTTTGAATGCGACCTCGAGTGAACGACGTCGGCTGGCCGATGTGATCAATGATGCGATTTCCGTCGGAAGTATCCGCTGCTCCTCGGCAGCTCTTCCAGCTGCCCCTCACCAAGGATCGCCGCCCACGACAGAACGCCCAGGGCCGGCCCGCAATACTACTTGACGGAAGAATTGCTGTGGCAGTCGCGGGGGCAAAATCCCTGTGATCGAATCGGTCAAGTCGGTACCTGCCTATCGCAGCAGTGGGTATCAGGAGCTGCGCGCTCGTCGGCTGAGTTGATGTAGCTTTGAAGTGTTGGCGGCCTTTCCGCTTCTGCAATCTGTCAATTCTCCGCGTCGCCCGTCACTGGCCAATTGGTCGCGGGCCAACCTTGGACGGTCGAGCTAGCGTACAGACCCACCCACGAGCCACATCTGACGTGGTCCTTTCCAAGCCATCAATTACAAGCTCTCAAGCAGGTTTCGCCTGTGACGGCACACCTGAAAGCAAAATCCATAACGGCGGCTGGAAGCTGACGACAGTCGAACGAGGCCAGGCTTGGAACGACATCTTGCCAACATTTATTACAGTCTTTCGTTCAACACTGTTCTTTTCTGCTGTGAAAATTCCATTTGTTAGTGCCATGTTGTTGCGCGCATAACAGTCTGATTGTTCAGTTCTTCATTCATCACGTTCGACGCCTCCGCCGATACACCCTGATACCCGAGCCGCAACATAACCATACCGTCCCATTGACTGGGGCTCTCCACAAAAGACACTGCCCGCTCGTCCACGATGTCTGATCTTTATCTCTCGCACGCCACTAGTTGGCTCCTGAGCTCGCCTCCCGCAGAATGGGCTATCAAAAACATCCGCCAGCTTGTCATTGGGGCCATGCGCCAGGGCCCCATCCCCCAACATATCGCTTTCGAGATGGACGGCAACAGGCGATATGCCCGCAGCCACAAGATCGAGACGGTCGCCGGCCACCACATGGGGTTTGAAGCCTTGGCGCGCGTTCTCGAGATATGCTACAACTGTGGCGTTAAGGTCGTCACGGTCTACGCATTCAGCATCGAGAACTTCAACCGTCCTAAGTACGAGGTCGACGGCCTCATGGCCATGGCAAAGGTCAAGCTCGAACAGCTTCTGCAGCATGGGGAGGTCCTGGATCGCTACGGCGCTCGGGTTATTATCTCGGGCCAGCGGGACTTGATTCCCGACGATGTGCTTGCCTTTGTTGATAAAGCTGTCAACTTGACCAAGAGCAACAAAGGGTCGGGTTCCTTTCATCACTATATAAACAGCATCCCGAGTTATCATGGTTGACTTTGGTGTTTCTTGCTAACATGCGAACGCACGACCTTGCAGTCACGTCCTAAACATCTGCTTCCCCTACACGTCGAGGGAAGAGATCACCCACGCGATCCGCTCCACCGTGGTCGACTACACGAGCCCTCCGCGCTCATCGGCAACGCAGTTCTCGCAGACACGCATTAGGCAGAAGATACTTTCCAAGCATGCCGACAAGGGCGACGATATGGGATCGTCGGCTCTGGGCTCCATCCAGGAGGCGCCCGGGACGGCAGAGGACATGGACGATTCGGTGTCGTCCACGACCACGCTAAACCAGGACTCGCCTCCGCCCACAGCCCACCCTTCGGGCGAGCATCAACAGCAACATGTCGGAGGACCGAGCTTTATGCCCTACCGTAACCCGGAGAGCATCACGGCCGAGACCCTCACGGAACACATGTATACGGCCGACTGTCCGCCGCTGGACCTGTTCGTCCGCACTAGCGGGGTGGAGCGACTGAGCGACTTTATGCTGTGGCAGTGTCACGAGGACACCCAGATCTTCTTTCTGAAGTGTCTCTGGCCCGACTTTGACCTGTGGAACTTCCTGCCCGTCCTGGTTGAATGGCAGTGGAGGCAGAAGCAGCGGGAGCGCGACGAGAAGCCTAAGGGGCAGCATCTGAAGCAGCGGTGAGGATATTTGCGTCCAGAAAGCTAGGCGCTTATCTGGATGGTGAAGTTTGAGCCCGGGAGATATGGGTTAGGTTTTCGGGATGTCATGTAGCTTTTATACCCAGTGTCTGGACTCGGTGTCTGAAAACGGAGTATTAGGTCGACATAGAGAACAATAGTGATACCAAGGTCGGACTGGACAAGACAGGCCAGTTCATCCGGCGCATACTATGTTTTCCGAAGCGGAAAGCAAGCGAGCCTGGTATGTTATAGATAGGCCAGTCCATTTGTCGTTGCAGTTTTATAGTAGAGCCCTAATTTGCCCATTAATTTTGTTTGCTGATGTAAATCTTGGTATCGTATCATATCTCTGTATCCCGCCCGTGCCCTTTTTGCGTTGGCGCAAGTTGTAGGTAAAGACTCGAAGCGGTGGATGTGCCACCTACCCGCGTCTCTTGTGCTCGACTCCTCCAGTGTTCTGTTTCTCTGCATGACGTGCAGGGGTGGGACGAGATGGCGGCATGACGCGACGGCCGGGCGGACGGGCAGCGTCTTATCTTATCGCACACGGAGCGCAACCCTAACCCTCGCTAGCGGACCCGCTGACCCATGCTAGCTTCGGCCTCAGGACACAATTTCACAGGGACGCGGCGCAAACTCCAGCCGGCCGTGGGAGCTTGGGGGTTTTTGGGTGGTGGTCTTGCTGCAAGAAAGGCGCCTGTCTGGCTCTGCCCTCCGCTCCAATTTTCCGATCTGCACCCCCTTGACGCCCTCTAGCTTGTATGAGTGCCTACCTCCCCTCCCCGTCCTTGCCTGAACCCAGTCCGAGATGGCCTAGGTGATCGCCTGCAGAAGCGCCCCCCAGCATCTTTTCGACAGCGTTTGTCCGTCGACCACTTCTGCGCGGCAGACCCCGCCCGCAGCGGCCACAACGCCCTCGTCCCAACCGACTCGTCCTCAGCTCCAGCCAGGCTCGAAGCGCAAGTCCTCTCCATTGCATCCTTTCACGCTTCCAGGGCCTGTCATGAAGACGGCCAAACCTGCCGCGCCCGCCGCCGCGACCGCGGCCGAGTCGTCCTCGAGCCGCCGCTCCCAGCCCGTCCGCCAGACGCGTGTCCACGGATCGCGGGCGGGTGCCGCTGGCCGCACGCTCGCCCACCGGGAGAATGCCGCCAACGCCGCCCTCAGTCGCGAGCAGCCCATCGACATCTTCCCCGGCATCGTCCACTTTGCCGACGCCATCACCGCCCTACCCAAGGAGCTAGTCCGCCATTTCACACTGCTGAGAGAGGTCGATGCTAAGGTCCACGCACCTCAACACACGCTGTTCAAGCTCGTCGACAATGCTCTCAACATCCCCGTCTCCGACCCGTCGCGACCTGATGCCCCCGCCGCCAGCGGCAGCGCCGCCCCGGAGTCGGTCCCCATGAGCGCCCAGAACAGTACCAATGGTGCCGTCGCACCGCCCGGCAACCCGATCGCCCTTGCCCTCGCCGCACCCTCTGTCGAGGGCTCTTCCCACGCCGCGGCGCACGACCCCAACGTCCTGGCTCGTCGTCGGGCTTACCGCGAAGCCGCAAATAAGGTCTCGGAGATGCTTGTATCGCTCGAGGAGAAAAATCATGTCATCTCTACGGCCAACGAGGCACTACATAAGCAACTCCGCCGCATCGACTCCATCTGGCCACACCTCCTAGAAGAGTTTAGCGACGAGGCCAAGTGGGGGAGCAGCACACACTGGGCATACCCCGAGAACAGGGTCAGCCGAGGGCTGACCAATGCCCAGGCTGAGCGCTCCAGGCGAGAAGGGGCGGCGAGCTTGTCTGCGGCTGCGCAACATATTGCCGAAGAGGTTGCTGCTAGGAGCGATGCCCGCAAACAAGCTGTGGCTGCTAAAAAGGACAAGAGCAGGACAGTCGCGCAGCAGCAACAGCAGCAACAGCAGCAACAGCAGCCACAACAACAGCCACAACAGCAACAACAGCAGCAACAGCAACAGCAACAGCAGCAACAGCAGCAACAACAGCAGCAACAGCAGCCGCCGCAACCAGCGTTTATTGCTACTCCGGTTCAAGAATCGGACGCGGATGATCACGACGCGAAAATGCATAAAGCGGAGACGGGAGCGAATAAGAAGACTGCGGCTGGCGCGAAGAGTCGGAAACCGGCGGCCAATGCAAACATGACCGTGAGCGAGTCTCCAACGCCAATCGGTCTAGGCATTGCCAATGCAACGCCGACCAATGGGACCCCGGCGCCCAAGAGGCGGAAGGTCGAGAAACCTAGCAATGCCAATACTACCACAGCCACTAGTAACGGTGTTCCCATGGAGCGCGCGATGAGCAGCGTTTTTGGAAGCAGCATCACCAAACCCAAGGCATCGAGCCCTCGCGGAACTCCAGCCCCGGAAAGCCAGGCCAAGAAGCGCAAGGCACTACCGACTGGGGGCAACCAGCCCAAGAAAAGGTACGCGGGCGACTTTTACTGCCACAAGCCTCTTTCCCATATTGCCAGAGCTGACCAGAAGACGATTACCCTATAACAGAAACGGTGCCGCAAACTCTCCATCCATGGCCTCCTCGCCGGTCGTCGGCGCGTTCCCTGACGCCGTTGTCAAAGTGGTGCGCAACTCGCCTATCCCGATTCCGATTCCCCCCACGCGCGCGCCCACCATGGCTCGTGGGAAGAGTGCCCAGTCTCATGGCGACAACGGACGACCGCGGCCTCCAACTGTGGCAGGCAACAACAACCGGCCCAACGGGGCGTTCTCGGCAACACCAGAGACGCCCGTACACACCAACGGCTCGCGGGCGTCGACGGAAACCAGAACGCTGAAGGACGCCCCGGTTCTCGGGGGGTTGACGACGCCCCTGACCAGGGTTGAGCCTCCCAAGCCCGAGCCAGTTGTGCTGGAATCGACCACTGCCATACCACCACCAATAATACCCCCTCCTTCTGTCAGAAGCCGAAAGAACTCGGTAGCGGCCAAGGTAGAGGAGGTGGCCGAGACCACGCTAGCGAAGAAGGAGACCACGCCCTCCTCTACCCACGGAGGTGCCGGGTCAACAACGTCGAGCTCGGCGGCAACAACGGTCACCACCAAGAGTGGCCGCGCGAGCAAACCGTCGACCCCTGCGCTGGGGAGCTTCCCGGACAGCGCGCGCGCGTTCCGGCCGTCGAGGGCGGCGGATGTTGTGGGTGTGACCACCCCTGCCGCCACGGCGACGACGACGAGCGTCCCGATGACAGTCAGGCGGAGCCACAAAAAGGGGGCCTCGGTTGCCCTGGCTGCGGCTCAGGCAGCTGCGGCAGTCGCCCAGGCACAGCACGGCCCCGCGCCAAATGGTGGGGCGTTCAAGAAGGACGCCGCTGGCGGTGGCAAGGACGACGACGAGGACCCCCTATATTGCTATTGCCAGCAGCCGAGCTACGGGGAGATGATTGGATGCGATGCCAACGAGGCGTGTCCTTACGAGTGGTTCCATCTCGACTGCGTTGGCCTCAAGGCAGCGCCCAAAACCAATGGTGAGTTTGACTGGATTTTTTCCCGCATTGATCGGTTATGTCGCTCGCTCCCCTTTGCTAGGTTCAGATGTTGGTGTTGGGTAACTAACTCTTGTCACCTGGCAGTGAAATGGTACTGCAAGGAATGTAAAAAGCGACTCGGCCTCCCGGAGAAAAAGTCGAGCGCCACAGGATGAGAAATCGTCCAGACGTGGAACCAGCAAACCGTCTTGGTTTCAAGGACTTCTCCCTGCCAAACAAGGCCCATGCCGAACAAGGCTTTACGCGTTATCTTCTGTCTCACTAGGTTTACGAGCTTCATCATTCTTGGAGGTTAGTTGTGTTTATGGATGGTCTCGAGTTGTTATTAGACCCAGCATCAAGCTGCTTGAGCTTCGGGTTTGGTCGGCGTTTTTGTGGGTTTCTCTGCACTTGCAACCAACATTTGCTCCGGGGATCTAAAAATCTAATTTTTGTATATCCATTGGCACCATCCTTCTGCCCTGTTATTTCTACCTGCCCTGCTTTCTCTTACCTTTGTCTCTCTCCATGGCATCTCTATTCCCCACGACCCCCAGGTGGTGTGAGTATCATCCTTTGCGGATTGTCAAATTTGAACCTGTGCCGATGGACGTTTCTCGTTGTCTTAACTTTATTCATTTTCGTCGAATCAGGGTCACGAAACAAGTCAAACCAAAACAAAAAGCACCCCACGCTGGTGCCGGGACATCCCGCCCCAAAGAGATGACATGTGTTCTTGAGGAAGTTCCAACAATGGATGAGACGTCGTATACATATATGCGAAGTGTGCGCGCGAGTTGTGTCTCCTCGGCTCCTCGGCCCCTCGGCGGTTTCAATATCTCCTCGGAGTCGTTTTTTGGCCTCGGGTTCGCCGGGGCAAACAAAACAATCAGGGAGGGTGGTGTCACGGCACATGTTGGAGGCCAAAAAGCAGGAAACACGACATTTGTGTTGCATTGGCATGTATGTGCGTGTATGTATGCATGTGTGTGTGTGCGCCTCTTGGGTGGTTGCAGCACATTGCGCTATGTATATTACGCGGCGCCATGAGGCGTCCTTCCATATCCTCTTTGCGAGTAAGTGCACACCTAATTCCCCTTCTCTCTCTCTCTCTCTCTCTCTCTCT